CATTTCAAACCATCAAACAATTTATAAAAACTAATTTGAAAATAAATTAATTTAAATTTTATCCAACTCAATAAAAATTAAAAACATCACTATTAAAAATATACATATTAGATATAACCAAATCAAACTCAATACCTAAATAGACAATTCTTCATCCCAACTAAATAATTAAATCATACTCAAATACTCGTTAGTCATCAAAATTGTAAATGTAAAACCCTTAAATGGGTTGAAGTGTTAATAACTGCTGTTGAAACCTAATCATCGACCACCCATTACAATTAAGTGGATAATTAATTTTAAATTTTAATTCAAACTCACACATTTATTTTCTTCTGCTAATAATTTTCTCGAATTTCAACTAAATTTTTAGGTCAATTTATTCGAAATTTCTTGTTTTTTAATAATTGTTTGTTATATTTTATTGATAGTTATATTGTTTTATTTTGTTCTAATTTATGTCGAACGCCCTTAATGGAGTTCAAACAGGAGCTAAATATCATTGTCAATTACAAGGACATGCACCTATCTCTAACAACTTTATTGAAAAAATAAATACTTGTAAAATTTAGGAGCAATACTATTTATAGTCGCTCACTGTCGTCCTATGTGATATTCAATATGACGGTTTGTGATTTGATGTATTAATGTGATGATTTTTCTTACTTCATATATCAAATCACTAATAACCACATATATGCCATGTAGGACGACTGCGACAATGAGTGACTGCAAATAGCATTATTCCAAAAGTTAGTTTATGCCCAATATATAAATAAAACCAATTCCCTGGCGTGCAATGCATATGTGCATGAACTAAGGCCAGGAAATTGTCCATGGCTCTGACAAAAGTTGAGAATTTGAGACCAACAAAGAAGGAAATCAACAAGGGAGCATGGACGCCAGAAGAGGATCGGAAACTGGCGGAAGCCGTCGAAATCCACGGCCCAAAGCTGTGGAAGGCCATTGCCACCACCACAGGTCAAATGATATATTCATCAGTATACATGTATTAGCTTGAACAATTAAAATTTTCAATATACATACGTGTATATGCAGGACTGAATCGGTGTGGCAAGAGTTGCAGGCTGAGATGGATGAATTATCTTAGACCAAACATCAAGAGAGGAAGTATGTCCGACCAAGAGGAGGATTTGATTCTCAGGCTTCACAAACTTCTAGGAAACAGGTTTGGCTATCATTTGATATCTTGTTAATATCCAATCGATTTATCTTAAATTTATTGAGATTGAGACTGAGCGAGACTTAGTTTTTCGTTGCTGATGTTGGTTGTAGATGGTCGTTGATTGCGGGAAGATTACCAGGTCGAATGGACAATGAGATCAAGAATTACTGGAAATCCCATTTGAGCAAGAAGATTGATAAGTCAAATGAAGGGATTTCAAGTAAAGAAGAAGACTCTACGAGTGAAGAGCTAATGAGAGAAAAGATTAACTCATCTAACTTCAATGTTACTGGTTCTGATGAGGACTCAAAAATCAGCTTTGATTTGGATGATTTTTTTGATTTTTCCAATGAGAATCCTTCAACATTAGAATGGGTCGGCAAATTTGTTGAATTTGGCGGAGTTGATTAATTTGTGTTCAAGGAGTTGACGATATATTTAACATAGTTTGAAGGTCGTCAGTTTGTAAAATAGCAAAAATACTTTGATCATCAAATTAGCTTGGATGTCATAGTCCAGTTTGTAAATTACTTCTTGCTGAATTATGGACAGCAAAGCAATCTATAAACTCTCTCTCTTTCATTTTGGTTTGTGCGCGAAGAGTGTTATCCGATAAACCTATCGAAATCCAAGGAAAAATCCATAATAAATTAGAAAGCCTCCGATCAATGTCACATCGAGTTCTTTATAAAGAGAGCTCGATAGGTTGTTAATCCCAATTAGTTTTGTCCAAAAACTAGAAAATTATTACCATAGCAATTGACAGAAAGGTATAAATTCATAAACGCATCAAATCCATTTAAAGCAACATTACATGTCATTTCAAAACGAAATTTACCAAATATTTATTTAACTTAAATAAAAAGTTGAGTGACAGAAAACGTTCCCAACTTTTGAGCTCATTTACAATTCCATCCCCAATATTTTTGCCCCGGAAAATGGTATCCATTTTTCCGTTAGTCAACCCGTTTGACCAACATCCTTAAAAATTGAAAAGGGAAAAATTGTTCTTAATTAAAATATTACAAAAAGAAAATGAAAAATTCAGGGAAAAAACAATATTAAAAAGGAAATGAATATAAAAAACAATAAATAAAAAAACAAGTAATCTTCTTCATCGATCCCCTTTCCGCCATCACCGCCACCTCAGGCCATTCTAACGGAAATATGCAACCTCGATTTGCCGGAAAACAAGCAAATTAACGCCATTATAACTTAGCAAGAATCCAATTCTACACATTACCTTGAATTTCAAATATCAAGTTATATAGCCAAAAAGACTGCACATCTACGATGAAAGTCATTGGCTGAAAAGGATGATCAAAAGCATAATTAATTTTGATTTTTGATTTTCATTTGAAATTTTTCCTCCCTTTCGGTTCATTTCAAAACTTGGAATGTAGAATACTTAATTTTCGTTGGACTGCTGCAAGAATCAATCTTGAATCACTGCTTAAATTTACAGTACTTTGCAGTCTTTGGCATTCATAACCATGCATTCTCCTTCCATGAACAAATAAATTTAGCTAACTCTGAATGCAAATATCACCATAATTTTCTTAAAATAGCTACGCTTCCCCAAAGGATATCCAGATCACATTACAAAATGATTACATACGTAACCATTGAAACCAGGGAATTTGAACATGGAATGGAAGAGAAAACATAAATAAGATTATAACTATATTCTCTTCTCCAGATTGGAAATGCTGTGACACGTCAATTTTCTTGAAGTAAAAATATACACAAAAAACTGATACTCATTCGATTTTCGTAGAAATGCTCTCCGTGTAGATTGGGACTCTGTCTTTTTAAGCAACATTGGCGAAGGACGCTCAGAATGGCGGGGGAACCACGTCTGATGCATCTTTTGGGTGATGATTTGATTATCCATAATAATTTTCAGCAGCTCTGAAAGGTATTTAGTTTGACAATTAGTATTCTTTATATCATACAAGGTAAAATTAGTCTCACAAGTATAAGCGGCATGTTAGATATCTCAAATAGATGCATCTTTCTTACAACAAACTTGGTACTCATGAAATCTGAATAAAAATGCTCTCTGCATATTGACTTTGTTCTTTTCAAAAGACATCCAAAAAGGTAGCTCAGAATGACAGAAGGTTGAGCATATGTCGTCTGATGCATCTTGCAGGTGATGATGTGATTATCCATTGTCAATCAAGACGTGATATTTGCACAATTGTACGGCATGATTGTAGAAACAATATGAAAATAGTTGTATTTTCCCTCTATAGCTAGCCTAAATTATAGAGAATTGCTGAAAATCAGCATTGTAATAGGAAATGATTACCTATGAATCTCTATTTAAAGAGAAGAACGCGTTCAATGAAAATCATCAATCAAATTCCATCTTCCTTGTCATCCATAACTATTATCTCTAACAATTTTCGGCAGCTCTAGAAGGCATTAATTTGACAATTAGTAGGGTTTATGTCATGCAAGGCAATGAAATGGTAAAATTAGAATCACAAGTATAAGCTCCACTGCCAAAATTCTGCAAGTAAATATCTAAAATATCCACTATGTACAAATTCCATATGTAAAACAAAAACCATAACCGAAATCTCGTCTTTACTTCTCTTACACCTCTTCTACACTAACCCAACATCAGGTCGCATGTCTCAGATGATAAACTGAACAATTCGACATTCTTGCCCCTTCTTCTCTTATTTCTTAGACGTCATCCACATTGAGTTTTATTATTATTCCTCTCATTACACTATCTGCAGGTTTGTTAAGCATTACGTTATTACTGATTACATTATTAGATATTGCAACTTATATTTTTTACCACTTCAGAACTCAAGGAACCTTTCAAAACTCTATAACAGTGTTGAGCATTTTCAAATATATAGAGCTTAAGCAGAAGAACAAAGAGCTTTCCAAAACCTGATTTCAGCATTTCGAACAATACCATTTCAGAAAGATGAAGCAAGTAAACTTACTTTAAAGCTTTACCGCAGCCAGAGTTTATCTGTCAATATCATTTACAACAACAAAGGAAGCATTATTCCCAGAAAAATATTGAAGATAGAAGCTAAAAATAAAATAAACACAAAAAAGAGAGAAACACCAAAGGAGAAAGCATCTAAAAGAATTTGCAAGCCACCAGTAGTGTGTAACCATAAACTAGAAATGGTTCACTAAAATCGAGGCAGTTCAAGCTCAGTTTTATGGCAGCAAGTTGAAACCACATAACATTTCTAAACAAATAAACCCACACACTAAATTAAATGTTCAGCAGCCCAAAACATAAGTACATACCAAAAGCTTGTTTTAAAATAAAGGGTAATTAGCACAAAACATCCCTACCTTTCAATGTTTTTGTGGAAAACGTCCTTACCTTTCATTTTTTGACGGATTACACCCTTACCTTTCCCTTTTTTTGTGTAAAACGTCCTTCTGTCAACTCTCCGTTAAAATGCTCCGTTAAATCAAAAAGGTAATTAGCACAAAAGGTCCCCTACCTTTCAAAATTATTGTGCAAAACGTCCCTACCTTTTATTTTTTAGCATAATTAGCAGAAAAGGTCCCTACCTTTCAATATTATTGTGCAAAACGTCCATACCTTTCATTTTTAGCATTTTTACCCCTACATTTCACCTTTCATTGCGCAAAAGGTCCTTTTCATCCATTTTTTCAATAAAATGACGATTTTACCCTCCGATTGAAATAAAACAAAAAGAAAAGAAAAAAACTAATTAATTAATTGCAATCATAGTTCTAAATCACATTGAGTTTTATTATTATTCCTCTCATTACACTATCTGCAGGTTTGTTAAGCATTACGTTATTACTGATTACATTATTAGATATTGCAACTTATATTTTTTATCACTTCAGAACTCAAGGAACCTTTCAAAACTCTATAACAGTGTTGAGCATTTTCAAATATATAGAGCTTAAGCAGAAGAACAAAGAGCTTTCCAAAACCTGATTTCAGCATTTCGAACAATACCATTTCAGAAAGATGAAGCAAGTAAACTTACTTTAAAGCTTTACCGCAGCCAGAGTTTATCTGTCAATATCATTTACAACAACAAAGGAAGCATTATTCCCAGAAAAATATTGAAGATAGAAGCTAAAAATAAAATAAACACAAAAAAGAGAGAAACACCAAAGGAGAAAGCATCTAAAAGAATTTGCAAGCCACCAGTAGTGTGTAACCATAAACTAGAAATGGTTCACTAAAATCGAGGCAGTTCAAGCTCAGTTTTATGGCAGCAAGTTGAAACCACATAACATTTCTAAACAAATAAACCCACACACTAAATTAAATGTTCAGCAGCCCAAAACATAAGTACATACCAAAAGCTTGTTTTAAAATAAATACCTCCAATATCCCTGGATATGCATCACGATACCGAGAACACAGCATGCAAGACCCTTGTAAACAAGTTCATTTACAGTATCACCTCCATTCATCAAGGGTGGTATTGGCCTACATATCTGAGAATCAACAAATGGAGTCTGCACATTTCAACTCCTGCATCCATTTTGGGAGGCGTAACTTCAGAATGCTCATAACTTATAATCTTATCCTAGCTTAGTATTTCAGTAGAAAGATCAGCAACATCTTAATGTAGATATAAAATTATGATTCTATGCTCTTTATTGGCAATCATGTTAATCTCGTTTCTACATGCAATATCATCTGTATGGTTAATACAATCGATAGACATGAGCTCCTCGTCCATTTTCCTTTCTTGATCTCTAAGAGTCCGAGCATGATCATGAAGAATAGCAGCTACAGGAGTCAACAAGTACTTGGACCAATATAAAAAATCAGCCACGCGAATGTTGTCATAAGCATTCACCTGTATTCAAGGCAGTCACACATAAATCTGGACCAGCTTATTCCCCCTCCACCCATCACCCCTGAAACCCCAATTAAAAGAAAGAAAATCTGTCCTGTGGTAACTGAAGGATTTTAACAACATTAATTCATACATCCTGTACTGACAAAACAAGAAGAAAAGCCTCTGTGTAATAGTTCTAAATATAGATCAATAAATAAAACAAACCTTTATAGCTCGCGTACATGCTTCAAGCACCTTAACCATAATTTCCAACAACTAACCTGAAAATGAACTTGATGTTATCAATATGGAAGAAATTCCTATTCATAAAATAAATTGTCACGGCTTCCAATGGTGATTCACTCACATCATACGCAGGAAGGATTGTTCTCCCAGAGTCTAGGATTTCTGTTGCATATCGGCTACATCAGAATGTGAGATGTTGCAGAACCTCCAAACCGGAAGTATTGATTGGAGTGGTTTTGCCAAGTGTGACAAAATTAAAGTCCTCAACTTTATACCACTCAATAACATCTATTCCAGAGATTGTGCACGATGCAATTGCGACTTAATACCCGGGGAAACATTTTTCTCGGAAAGAAATAATCTCACCCTCTCCAGCCATTGAAGTTCTTGATTTGTTGGGGTCTCAAATGATATGAGACATAAGAACTCTTCAATGAAATTGGAAAAGAGATGTAACCCCAGTTCTTTAGAAATCATTAGTCAATCTTATTTTCGATATGGGTAACAATTAATGGAATCCAATTTTGACTATTATTTTTATATCCATAATAGTACCATGGCCAAGATACCAGCCCAACAGTACACAAAACTCATAATATCTGATTCAGGCCGGACGTACCAGTAGAAGTTCAAAAAGAATGCAGGGACAACAGTACTGCAACGTTTCAAAAACTGGATTCATAAACTGATAACAAATTTTCCTGTGCACTGTTGGCAATTAAGTTGCATACAGCATATAAAAAATACTAGAAGAGTATGGAGATCAGGGCCAAGGCATGGGCTGGACTCAGCTGAAAAGACCCAAGGTCCACATGAACCAATCCTATTTATGCCTCTAAGCTAGCACACACAGGCCTCATTGTCAAAGCCATGTTTCAAAAATTGGCTTCAAAAACTCTATATAATGAACTTCCCTGCACACTGCAGTGTTGATATCTCAAATGCATAGAAACTCGCTGAATAATTATCAGAAAATAAAACATACGAGGGTGGGATCCAAAAATCCCATTGAAAATCAAAACCATTCACGAGAGGTTCAAAATACTTAATTCTGGTAGATTTAGATTTCAATGTAAAAAAACATCTAGAAAAACTCCCAACTTATTCATCCGAGAAGGATGTGCATGTTACAGTATTTCCATAAAACCTTTCTTGAAGTGATTATCTGGGCCAACTGAATAATAGCAGGCCTTCAAACCAGTGAACAGCTACAATATTCTCCATTTAACCTGTCACCGGAATAAGTTGGTTAGATTTCTAAAGCTTGAAAGAAAATTGATTACGCTATAAGGTACATGCTAGACAAAATATTTGGAGATTCACGGTTTAAGGGTGATATACAAGGTTTTCTCAGAATCTTCAGCCAAAATATACAACAGGCCACCATGGAAATGTAGTAAAAATGGATAAAATCAGATGAAGATTGATAAGGATTTCATGGCCAAACTAGTAAGGACTGTCTTGGATGACAATTTTTATACTGTGAAAATAACGAGGGTGCAAATATTTATGCTAAAAATTTGATTGTATACCATTTGTGACTCCATACAGAACTTTAGGTTGTAGTACAATGGCAAATTTATTTCGTGTAGATGGCTAAAGTGACTTTATAATTTAGTAAAAATGCAAGGCTACATTACACTACACATGGCATAATTAAAATTTATATAAACAAACCATATAGGTCACTCATAATACTAAATTATGAGAGAGAAGTAAGATATGAAGTTCTTAGACAGATTTGATGACTAAAATACAGATGATTGTTTAATTAAGAAAAGAACCAGAGAAGAAAAGAGAGTAAAATAAGTACATACAGGAGACGGGAGAAAATAATGGGCACCCACTTGTCCTAGCTTAAAGAATAGAAAGAAACGCAAGGGGGGAGGAAAAAAGAAAAGAGACACAGGAATCTTTCTTCTTTTTCATTTTGTGTGCATGGCACACTCACAATGACAGAGAGCATCTGACTGGTAAAAGGGAAATGTAAGACAGAATGCAGCTAAAAATCAGAACAACATTTAAGATAAGGAAGCCTAGCAGCTTTAAATTACCAACCATTATGAGCCATCGTACATTGGCGATGTCCATAAGAAAATGAAAAAATATATTCATGCATCAAAGCATTAAGTTTATTACGACATAATTGATATCTTATTAAGAACCTGTTCTTACTTGGCATGAGACTGAATGACGGCCATCAAAACCTGTTTGTGGGCTGCAGCATTTGGGGCACATTAGACTGTGAAGCTAACTGCTCCGAACTTGGAGAAGGTCTTATCATGTGGCTTGGACCAGCTGGGTTGCCAGGCGCCTGTCTGCCCATCAGCTTAGCATTATTTGCATTTGTCTGAGACGGAACAGGCTCCATTGACGTACGTATCTGGGTAAGAATTTTATAAATGATTGGATCATATATTCCTCAAGGGAACACTACAAGACAAATTTCTGTGTTAAAAATATATCTCACCACATCCAAACGCTTTTTGTGGACTTCACTTGCTGACTGCAAGATATTCCAAATTCAACATCAATATAAGCGCGTAAAACAGCTGATCCAAGTACCGAGACATATTTTGCATCTGGTGTCATTTAAATTTCTCGAAAATTTATTACTGCAAACTACTATATCACTGGGTCACTGGAAGCAAGTCTGGAAAGTAAAAAACTAATGTTTAAACTTTTTATTTATTTCTTTAAAATGACTTCAAACATATTTTAAACTGTTTAAGATGGGAATCAAATTAAGTTACATTACAGAAAATTAATATTCTTGATATACTTCATAAATGTATTACCAATCCAAAAAATGGGTAAATGCTTCCTGATCATATCCAAGTAACAGAGTACTTCAAATATGGGCATCTAAATTAAGTTGAAAGGGTTATAGAATATAAAAGCAATATCTTAATATACTTCATAAACGTATGAAAATGCAAGATATTGGGTAAATGCTTCCAGACCTTATCCAAGAGTGACATACTTCATGGATTGGCAGGAGTTGAACATAGGGAGACCTAATTTTATTGCTATAACAAACACCTTGTCCATGCTGCATTAAGTAAAATTTTTGAATAGAGAACAATGCTTACATGCTCTGGGGCCTGTTTGCCATCTTCGCTAGAGTACCCTGGAATGGTCAATTTCCAGTTTTTCTCTGCAAAAGTTCCTTCCATTAGCCCAATGAAACAGACCATATGTATTGATATAATAACAAAGCGTAATATCAAAAGAATAGGATCGAGAATGTTAACAGATTATATAACATTGATCAGAATCCTAAACTTCAGCGGTGAATTGCTCTGTTTCTATTTGCAAGGTTAAGATGCTATATAAAGAAGCCCTGAAGCACAAACCTAGATGAAGCTGTACATCTTTGGCTTCCAGAGTTGAAGAATTCCGATGCTTTGCCAGGGTGCAAGCAAATGATGTAAGCTACGACAAGATATGATAGGATAAATCGTCAAAGGAACTTAGATAATTAATGTTTTAAGCTTGCAGATCACCAGCTCCTTCACCTCCACACATGCACACACCCCAAACCCATCTCAACATATAGATATATAGGAAAAAACTACACAATATTGGACAGTTCCTACATCACAACTAATTTCCGAACAGAATGAATAAAATCTACTCCTAACACATTCCTAGCCACGGATACCCAGGATCAATACTCTAGAGTACAATGGCATGATGTCAGATACCACACTTTTGGGCGGTACCAGCTCTACAACCACTTGAAACAGCTGACTTTGAACTGTTACCACCACTTCAACACCCACAAAAGAGAAAAACGAAAACGTAACAACATATATCCAAATTCGTCCAAGGAGGGCAGTCTTTCTTATGAATTAGTATCTAAATTGATCACGTAAAATTAACTCAGTCTATAAATCATCTTCAAGATTATTATATAACCAAGGGGGATGATCTCTTCGTCTGACCAAATATCAAAAGGAGCTTCAAAAAGCAAGATTTTTTGCAACTCATCCATAAAATCTTCAACTGATTGTGCATAATGAAGAGCACCAAGAATTAATATTGTAGACAAGACTGTAGAAAAAAATGATTGTAACACTGAATTAATAGTGCCATATAAGGTTTAATGTTAAATTTTGACCGAGTGATCATAAATGTAACAGATGTAAATTTGAGAAAATATTATCGCGAGAAAAAAATTTCAGTAATCATTGACATAATTACTGAAAATTTAAATGATTACAAGCATAATTAATGCATCCTAGAGAAATATTACCAGAATGTAATTGAATCGGCTGAGTTCTATCCGGATACACATGATAAGTCTCACTGAAATGTCTTGTGATTTTTTTGGCAGGGCGGTTGCAATAAAATAAAAAGAGTTTTTGAAAAAATAATTAAAAAAATATTAAATATGGTTCGATAATATGATATTGCAAAACATGGTATCGAGTGGGGCAATGGAAGGAAATGAAGTGTCAATTCTTGAACTATTGACCTCAGTTGTCGGAATAACAATTCTCGATCAAATGGGATAAGGTAAATTGGCTAATGATCCGTATTTAGTTGTTCCCATTGATATCACTTTTATTCAAATTGAATAACTTTACCAATGTCACTTGTTCAAGTGCAATAAATAAGAATGGGTGCATGGTTTTATTTGGTCAAATTCTTAGGAAAACACAGCGTAACAACTGAACGAATAATAAAAATTAACCAGAAGAGGAATTGAATTAGGCTAAACAATATCGATTTTATTTATTTATTTATTTTGTGTGAATTTTTTATAGCTTGATTCAATATAATACGTAACAATTGAGCAACTAATCAAAATTAAAGTGTGCTAATTTAACTGCTAGTTTGTGCAACACTGCTTTTTTATTCCAAGGTAGGTGCAGCAGTTACAATACATCGATCAATCGATAATAACTGTAATATATATTACGTCCCTATCTGAACCACTTCTGAAGGACGCTTCGAAATATCTGAACCACTTCGAAAGTGGTAGTACAAGGTATCCACCTCCATCCCGAAGTGATTCTGATATTCCGAAGCGTCCTTGACGCCGAAGCGCAATGCGCCGCCACTTTCAGAAAGAGAATCTACGTCAAGATCCTCTCTGCCCCCAAGGCCCAATTGATTTGACGTCTCCATGGGTCTAGTTGATGTGACGTATTAACTTTATGTCAACTCAATTCAGGAGAAGTTATTACCCGCCCACTCTATAGATGCGGCTGGTTGACGGCTATGAGCAGACACCACACGCCGTCAGATGCATATACGTGTCCCACATCCAACGATTCTCCTCACCTATAAATACCCAAGGCTTGACAAGAGACAATGGTAATGAAACTCTTGCAACTTAGCTCTCCATAACAAGAAAATATATATAATCTCCTCCCCGTTCACTTGCACAACCCGGACACTGTTCCGATCATCGAATACTAATTTGACCGTCGGAGTGTATGCGACCGCCACCACTCCAACTGGTTCCGACCGTGTGCATCTGACCGTGTGTTGATTACACGCAGGGTGGATCACGTAAAGCAGCTATCGGTTGGCCACGTAGGAGGTACAATTCGTGAGGTCAACAGATTGGCGCCGTTTGTGGGAAACATCTCATCCAAAGTTCTACATTCTTCACTGGAAAAGCCACCGGAAAACCATTGACTTACCCTGAAAAGGGGACGTTCTTGAAAAAAGAACAAAGTCGAATTACAACCCAGATTCTCATCACCCTTGAAAAAGGAGTAGATAAGATGAGTTCCAGCAGTGAGGACGAAAACTACAGGATGGACGCCTCTGAAGAAGAGGTGCTCTGAAACAATGTCACTCACCAAAGATCCCATCACCAGCGTCGCCGAGGTGAAAGAACGGTCATGCTCACTGAAGGAATGGCCCAAATAGCTATGGCATGAGAGAGATCGCAGCTCAGAATGTGGCGATGCATGAAGAATCGCAGCTCAGAATATGGCGATGTATGAATTCTTCATGCAAGCCCAAGGTCACTAGGGCGCCCAAATGCCCCAAGAATCTTACCCAGCTCGTGAAGTCCCTGTATCTCGTTCCCGAGGCCATATGAGCCAGCACAGAGAACCTCCCCCCTCGAGAGAGAAGTGGGTATGGAAGTCACATCCTATGTGCAAGAGAGTCGGCCAGCAGAACCGCAATTTGGGGATAACTTTCCACCAGAATGTGAAGCACAAAGGTCAGTCAGTGTCTTTGACCGAATAGGGCGGAACCCTAGTAATAGGGTCTGCTCGGTGGAAAGATCAGTTCGACAAGGGGAAGAGCAATAACAAGCGCCCCTTCCACCTAGAAATAGGAAGGAGAGAAGAAACTCAAGGGTAGCCGAGGAAGAGCACCTCTACCCCCCAGAACATGCAAGATGATGGGGACTCCAGAGGGCCATGTCGATCTTACGAGATTAATGATGATGATGATGATAATCTCCCTTTCTCAAGGGAGATCCGAGGCTCCCAATGCCTGCGAACTTCGTACCACCTAATATTCCCAAGTATGAAGGAAAAAGGGACCCGGAGAAGTACCTCACAAAGTACATGACACAGATGAGTCTCAGGGGAGCCTCGCCTGCTTTGAAATGCAGAGTCTTCCACCTAACCCTGGCCGGAGCCACCAAAGTGTGGTACAGCAGGCTGCCTCCTCTGAGCATTAGGAGTTAGCCAGAGCTAAAAAAAAAAGTCTTCTTGAATCAGTACCTCTCACGTAGAGAATGAGAGGCCTCAGTGCAATGCCTGCAAGATATGAGACAAGCCCCTGGAGAAACGCTGAAAAGATACCTCGCCAGGTTTACGGACGAGATCACCTATTGTGAACAGGTCACTGACAAAGAAGCCCTTTCAGCCTTGAAAGGCGGCCTCAACATGAACACTTTGTTCTGGAGGGATGTGCACAGCAAGAATCCTACCACTTATGACGAACTGGTGGAAATGATGAGAGTTGAGATCGTCAGTGAAGAGATAATTGATCACCAAAATCGTGTCGCACAGGGACTCCCTCCGCCTCAGAGTCAGGTAGGTCGAGGACCCGCAGCGCACCTTGTCACCAAGCAATGGACCTAGGCAAGGTAAACAATTGCTCCCACGTCCGGACAGACACTAGCTTCGGCCACCCGAAATGCAGTGCTGGTATTGGCATACGAGAATGCCCCTGCTAAGGCAAGACCATCTAGGGGTGCTGATAGTAGTCGAAAGAAGAAGAAGAAGCGGTCAAGCAGGCCCTTAGAAGGGGCAAGGTTCTGTATCTTCCACCAACTCTATGGACATGACACCAGCAAATGCAGAGACGTTCCACAATGCTCAGATCGGAATAACCCACATCCCTCCAGGAGGGACAAACATCCCCGCAAATTCGCCTCCCAAACAGGGGTGAAAAGGGGCATAGAGATCAATCACCTTGAAGAAGAGGATCGAGGGACAGATGAGAGTCTGGACAGAGAGGTCAGGCCCCATTTTCTGGAGGCCAAATCATTAGGGAAATTGACACGATCATTAGGGGACCTCAGATCGGCGGCAACACTAGGAATGCTCAAAGGAACTATATAAGGGAAGCAAAGGATTCGCCAATGCTCACGTACATTGTCAACCAATCCCAATGGCCCCGATTACCTTCTCCCAAGAAGATATACAAGGAGTTCACCACCTCCATTGTGACGCATTGGTAGTAAGAGCCGTAATAGCAAGAAATGGACTCAAACGCATGCTTGTCGACAATGGCAGCTCGGTGAATATACTCTTTGGCTCTACGTTCGACAAAATG